AAAAGAGATGTATCTAGACTAAGTCTAAGTCTAGATACATCTCTTTTTATCCATTTTGATGACAAGTATTTTCGGACGGAGGGAAACATGTGGCAACCAGCACCTACTACCCCAGTGACTCATTTCAAGTTTACAACCATAGTTTATACAGCCCATGAGCTGGAAATCCCACAACTTCGAATCAAACTTGATACACAGCGAGAAAGTTGCACAAAAGACAACACCCTGGGTACAAAAGTTGCAATCAGATAAAACATGTTGCATGGACTTTCATATGGCTCATCAATAAATAATCAAAATGACTTTAGCTTATTGTGTATGCCAACCCTCAATCTCAAGCGAGAAACACTGTTACAAACAGTAAACAACAAGAGGTAGACAATCTTCTACCTTATTCTTTGTGAAACTGGTATAAAAAAGAAAAACCTTAGATTTTCCCAAACATAACTTGAAATACATCACATTTGATTCTACTTTTTTTGCAATATTCATCAACAACTCCTCTATATTTCGCTATATTGAACTATTTTGAATAGTCTGAGAAATCTGGAAGCATTAGTTTATGACAGAGTGATCATGATTTTTCGTTGGAGGTAAAGGTTCTCCTGCGATTTTTTACACAAGTTCAGCAGCTGAGTAAATGCCACTATCTGACATCTCTCAAAGAATAATTTAAGCACTGAAAACCTTTTCAATCAATTTTATTTTAATTTGGCCACAAAACAAAATTAATGAGACAGTGTCAACAACAGCCTTACAGTTACATGTGGTGCATTTACAGCAAAACTTTTCGTCCAGCAGTCAACTTATCTTCCAGTCTTCCCATGAGACAATATGTCTTGGAAGGCCTTCACGTCATCAACTGAGAAGGAAGGTTTTCTCTCAGCAACCAACTTCATTATCTCTCGGGCATTCCTGTCCTTTTTAATTACCATAAGGCCTTTCAGCAGATTGTGAATGGTATCGACACTTGGAAACCAGTTCTTCTCCATGCTGTCTTTGCACAATCTGAATGCCAAATTAAACTCCCTTCGCTTACATAGGTAATGCACCATTGTCTGGTAAATCCTTTCATTTGGCTTGCATCCCCTCCCATGCATTGCACCAAAGACCGTCTTCGCCATCTCATGCTCACCTATCACAAAAAATCCCTTAATAACCAAGTTATATGTGATCTCATCCGGTGTTATCCCCGCTGCATACATTTTCCGCACCAGATCATTTGCCTGCCAGCCCCTTCTCCTGTTGATCAGGAACTGAATCCTTACATTGTAACTGGTTAGCGTGGGCATGCAACCCCTCAACCTCATGAGGTTCCACAGGCCATCCCCAACCTCACGGTGGCCATTCTTATAGAACGCAGCCATCAGTGTTGTGTATGTGATGACATCGGGCCGCACTCCTTCCTTCTCCATCTCCTGCATTACCCGGTACGCTGCATGGAGCTCCCCCATGTCGCACGCCATCTTCACCACTGTGTTATACGAAATGTCATCCAGCTCAACCCCGTACGTGGGTGATGCCTCGTCCAACAGCTGCAGGGCCTCATCAAAGAGCCGTGCTTGCATCAGCACCTTCATCGTGGCATTGAGCGACTTGACCGTGCGCTCGCACCCGTACATCTCCATCTCCCTGAAGGTCCGGAGCGCGTGCTCCGGCATCCGGGCCCTCCCGTACAGGCCAATGATCCTGATGACGAACCCCTCCCGCCTTCCCTGGGGCAGCGCCTTGTGCTGCTCGAGGATCTCCTCCACGAGGTCATTCCGTCGAGCACCTGCCAGACGCGCCACCGCGTCCTCGAACGCGAACCGGTTCTCGACCAGCACGCGGTTGTCCGCATTGGCCTTGAACAGCTCGTACAGCCGCACCGGGTCTCGCTCGCTCTTGATCCTGACCAGCACCGGCGCCTCGGCGTCCGCGGGCCCTTCCGGCCGCGCCTCGGCGGGGGGCGAAGAGGCCTGGCGGCGGCGCTTGGAGGCCGCGACCGCGGCGCGGCAGGAGGCGATGGTGGGGAAGTCCGGCGGAGGGGAGTGCCCGCCCGCGCGCGCGGAGAAGGGGCGGCAGCGGGGGTGGGAGAGGCCGGCGGCGATGATGGTGAGCGCGACGGCGTCGAAGGCGGCGCAGAGCTTGCGGAGGGCGCCCAGGGATAGCATCTGATCCGCGCGATCCCGGGGCGGAGCGGGGCCAGTGCGGGGCGGCTGGGTTTCCGGGTAGGTTGGGCGGGTGGCTGTTAGTTATGACGGCGGCGTGGAGGCTGCCATGGTCGGGGGCGGAGGCGGGGAGTGGTACTGGATGCGAGAGTTACTTCCACCACGATGGCTGCGTGGATGCGCGACCCACCGTGCAGTCGAATGGCCTCTCTCGCTAAAGCCCACCAGTTCATTGCAGAAAAGCCAGCAAGTACCCAACCCTGTTGTTTTGGACCATGGGCTGGTTATTGGGCTTAGGTCGGGCATTCCGATGGACAATGGGCCGAATGAACAGCTGGGGGCTCATATTCTTCAGACAGTGAGTTAGTGCATGTACAATGATGCTATCTTAGGAGTGTCATGTAGAATAAATGATGAGGTGGAGGAAAGAGAACTCATAAAAAAAACTTATCGTTTCTTATTTAAAATAAGATAAGAAATGATATCTTAGCACAATGTGTGTCACCACGTTTTTAGGAATAACTAATTATAAAGATAAGGCTAAGAACTCATTGTAGATATCTTTTTTTATCATCTCTTAATTATATACAAGACCTAAGATAAAATTATCTTATCAATCATTGTACATGCCCTTAGGTTTATCTTTTACTGAAACATTTCTCAAAAAAAAAAGATTACTGAAAGAATCCTAAGCACAGCGTTTGAAATAACGTTGTTATTCGGTTTAATGAAAAACAGCAAACAATCATCAGTTTGAAATAAATTTGAAATTCAATTTGGTTGGGGTGCGCCGAGCCAGGCAGTAGTGCAATGCCTAGACAATACACGAGGGTTCTAATGGTAAGCCATTGTGATGAACCCTTCTCCATAAAAAATAAATTTAATATCATTGTAAGCACATGGCCTATATATCATCAGATATTAAACTAATAAAAATAGGTACTACATTTGATCTTAGCCAAAAGGCAGAGAAAGATATGAGTTGTGTTGTACAGCCACGCCTCGTTGTATAGAACTCCTCCCGGCCGCGCTTCTCGTCGCTAGTCGAGGTGGTACTACCGCTGCCTTCTCTTCTGTCCCGCTCCAGTCTTTTTTTTTTAGACAACCCCGCTCCAGTCTACGCGGCACGGGGACGCGGGCGGCTGGGCCCAATTCGAGAGCCCAACGGTCTGAATCCGGTTGGAGTTGAAAGCCCATCTGGTCTCTGTTCTATTTCCTTTTGCCTTTTCCCTATCCCTCAAAAAGAATTTTCTTTTTCCCCTGGCCGAACTAAAAAAATCAACCAATAAAAGAAGAAGAAAAGTTGTGATGGATACGGACGCAGTGCTGGTACGCTAGTCAATAAAAATAGTTCGGTACGGGCATTATTATGAAAAAAAAAGAAATACAGGATGACCCGTGGCTTTCCAAAATTACATATTTTCTACCATTTCTAAAGGCAACTCCAACGGGGAGACCCAAACGGACACCGTTTTTGTCCGCTTTTCGTCCGTTTGATTCGCCCGTCTGTGTGTCCGTATCCGCTTTTTTATTTGGATCGGCCCGTGCGCCCAACGGAAAGCAGACTCATTTTGTCCGTGTCCGCGTTAGCATTAAATCGAACACCTTGTGGGTGAGCTCCCACGTCGCCCCGCGCCGCTCCTGTGCTGCAGCTCTCGCCGGGCGCGCCCTGCCGTGTCCTCGGCGCCCGCTCGCACGTGGCGCAGCTCGCCCCGGCCCCGGGCCCGCCGCGCCCGCGTGCCTCGCGCTGCAGCTCGCCGCGCCCGCCGCCGCTCATGCACGCCGCGCCAGCCACCATGCTCACCACGTTGATGATGAGCCCGTCCATGCCCACGTCGCCGTTGGGCGCGGCCAGCGGCGGCGCCTGGGGCCTGTACGTCGGCTGGTGGAACGGCCACGCGCACTGCCCGGCGCACTGTGTCGCTGGGTTGCCGGCCCACACGTAGGCCATGCCGGACTTGGCGTCCACGGTCCCGTGTCGGCCGCACCGGCTCATGCAGAACCCCTCCACGCCCACGTCCTGCGCCGTGAGGACCAGCCCACACGTAGGTACAGCTGGTGGATGCTGCTCCACCACTGGGACACGGAAGGCGTCGGGGACGCGCGGGACGCGGCGGAGAGGAAGAGGAGGAAGTCGGAGACGATGGCCTTCTGCGCAGCTGTGCTAGCGTCGCCGTGCTCGCCCGCCCGTGCTCCTGTCGCCGCGCCAGCTCCGCTCGTGCTCGTCATCGCGCAGCCGCTAGCTGACCCGCGCGACGGAGCTTGAGCGCTGCGTCGGGCACGGCGCGAGGAGCAAGGCCGGGCGCAACTCGACGGGCGGCGGCGCTCCAGCTCCGGCTGCTACGATGGTCGGGGTACGGGGGAGGCAAGGCGAGGCCGGGCGCGGGGAAGGGGAGGCGAGGCGAGGCTGGCTGCCGACGTGGGTGTACGGGGGCTGGGCAGAGAAAAAGGAGGAAAGAGAGATGTGAGGTGGTGAGTCTGTGCCAGGTGGGCCGGCCTCGCATGCAGCGGATGAGGAGGACGCAAAGAGCGCCCGCTTTGTGTCCGTCTCGAACCCAAATGCAACCCAAATTTACGTCTGAAAATGGGTCCGCGCGGACACAAAGCGAACAGAAAATAGAAACGGGTCAGCGCGTTGGGCAGTGTGTTTTGTCCATGCAAATCCAAACGGACATGCGCGAACGAAATGAGTCCGTCCATTGGAATTGCTCTAAGGCTGTCGTGATGGCATTCCGTCCAGCCTACGCGGCATGGAGACGGGCAAAGCCACATGCAGGGCGCCTACTGACTCGTGCGTACATCGATGGTAGACAGGAGAATCATGAACTCATGATGCGGTGCAGGTGTATTCCATCCTAGATGGGACAAAATCAGCCATCAGCTTCGGAAGAGAAGACGGGCCTTGCTTTCTCTACACGTGCTGCTGTTGGTCCTGTGTGTACATCAGTACATCACCTCCCGTTTGGGGGTATATTCTGCGTTGCAAGATCGCTAGGAGGATAGTGTTGTCATATGCATTGGACTCTGCTTTTTTATTTTTTATTTATCTAAGAACCTAAATCATTATACCTAATTTGACAGAAAATGCTATAGTAGAGATGCTACATCTTTGGTGCGCCAGAACGAACGATGGCTCTGTTGAGTAAAAAAAGCAATTTCTCGATTAGATTAATCCACGAGTAAATCACTAGTATGACATTGACACAAATAAACGCATACTGATATTCAGTCAAGCAATTAAACACACATCTCTTCTCAAGCTTCAATAGCATGTAGAAGAGAAACCCTTATAAGGAGGTCCAACTTGTCTTCCACTTTCGGGATGAGACTAAACTTCCCACTCCACCTAGTGCTAATAAACCCACATGGGCCCTCAGAGATTTTTCAGAAATTGCTATATGGGCCTAGAGCCCATCTCAAATTTCAGCAATCCCCCATCAGATCTCGAGGGGCCATTGTGTTCTCTGTTCCAATTGTTGTTTCGATATACCAGTGTTTCAGTGAAGACCTGTTAAGGTTGAGCTTCACCTAGAGCAAGTAGCTACACTCCTTCACAACTAAACAATGGACTATGGCTTGAATTGTCAGTTTGGCGTAAAGAAGTTTCACCACATGTCTTACTAGTAGTGGGCTGCCGAAGGCTGACCCCCCGGGTGGAGCATATAAGTCACACTCCTGGCCTATTCATGAGTTTACCAGAGATCATCCCAATCTCATAGACCGTGACCAGCAGTCAGGCTCACATAGGTGTGTTCCTCTAAAGATCGCTCTGTAGGAAAGCATCTTGCTTACATAAGCTTTGGAACTCATTAAGACAATAGTCATCCTACCATACAGTCTTGAGAGTATTGTATCTCCAACGCAGTGGGTTAGTATAGTTACTCTCCTCAGTTCACCACTGGCTTGTTTTCTCAGGTCCTACTTCACGGGATCTCCGATCACATAGGTTGGGTTACCACCATGGCAACTCATGTGGGTCTCATACACATCTCCCTCGATGCATTATCTATCACAACGCGTGATAACCCTTTCGTAAAGGGATCTGCCAGATTCTTAGCCATATGGACATAGTCCAACACTATCACTCCGGAGTTTCTTAATTTTCTGACAGCTTTTAATCTCATTCTTATGTGTTTGGTGGACTTCATGTTGTCCTTTGAACTCTTCACCTTGGTGATGACAGTCTGATTGTCACAGTTCATAAGGATAGCCGGAACCGGATTATCAACCAATGGCAAGTCCATCAAAAGATCTCGAAGCCATCTCGCTTCAACACCAGATGTGTCTAATGCCGTTAATTCTGCTTCCATTGTCGATCTTGTTAAGATCATTTGCTTGCAAGACTTCCAGGAAATGGCGCCACCTCCAAGAATGAACATATACCCAGTTGTGGCCTTCATCTCATCAGCATCAGAGATCCAATTTGCATCACTATACCCTTCAAGTACCGACGGGTCTCCGGTATAGTGAAGTCCATAGTTCATAGTACCTTTCAGATAGCGCATAACTCGTTCAACGACATGCCAATGTACATCACCCGGTTTGGAAACAAACTGGCTCAGTTTGCTCACAACAAACACGATGTCGGGCCTCGTTGCGCTCGCTAGGTACATCAGTGAACCAATGATTTGAGAGTATCTCAACTGATCTATAGCCGTGCCTTTGGACTTTCGAATCAACACGCTAGGATCATATGGTGTTTGAGATGGTGTGCAATCCGAATATCCAAAACGACTCAACACCTTCTCAACATAGTGGGATTGCAGAAGTGTAATCCCACCCTCATTATCTCTCAGTAGCTTGATGTTCAAGATAACATCAGCCACACCAAGGTCTTTCATCTCAAAGTTCTGAGACGGAAACGACTTGACCTCCTCAATGACTTTGAGGTTGGTTCCGAATATCAGTATGTCATCAACATACAAGCACAGTATAACTCCTTCGCCCCCACCATGGCGATAGTATACACATTTGTCAACCTCATTAACAATGAAACCAACAGA